ATACAGGGTCACTAACAACAATACTTAACAACAACAGTATATAAAGGAATCCTTGTGTGGCGCTGTAGGATAAGCACTGGAGTGCTAACCAAAAGATTGGAAGTTCAAACCCCAGCCATTCCTCAGAAACCCTATTCAGGGACACTTGTTTATACAATAAGTATATAAAGGCAGAAGAAAGATGAAGCTTTTTACTCCAGCAAAGATTTAAAATGTCTTAGAAACCCTGGACAGGGTCGCTATGAGTCAGAACTGACTTGAGGACATTTAACAACAATATATAAAGAGGAGTCCTGGTATGGCACTGTAGGATAAGCACTGAACTGTTAACCAAATGGTTAACAGTTGAAACCCATCAGCTGCTCCTCAGTTACCCTATACTGGGTTGCTATGAGTCAGAACCACCCCGACAGCACTTAAGAATAAAAACACTAAGAGAACTACACTTCAAAAAGTACATGGGAAAATGGAATGAAAAGGTAATGGAATGAAGTTTTTGAAGCCACTTTGTATGTATGTATATAAATATATACACAAATATATAGAAACTCTCGCTCCATTCCCCCCACCCCCATTCCCAGCCCAGGCCCTAACGACCACTAATCTAGTTCCTATCTCTAAATACTTTCTTCTTCTGGACATTTCATACAAATGAAATTCTGTGTTATGTGGCATCTTGTGTTTGGCTGCTTTCATTTACCATAACATTTTTATTTCTCCATTCATCTGTTGAGAGACGCTTAAGACGTTTCCACATTTTGGCTGTAGTAACAAGTACTGAAAATTTCAGTCTGAAATTGATCAAACATTCAATCAAGATACATTGATAATCACTGGAAATTGGAATGCAAAGGTTGACAACAAAGAGGAAGGATCAGTAGTTGGAAAATGTGGCCTTGGTGATAGAAATGATGCTAGAGATTGCATGGTAGAATTCTGCAAAACCAATGATTTGTTCATCTCAAATACCTTCTTCAGACAGCATAAAAGACAATTATACACATGAACTTCACCAGATGGAATACACAGAAATCAAATTGACTACATCCGTGGAGAGAGACAGTGAGAAAGCTCCATACCATGAGCCAAAACAAGGCCAGGGGCAGATTGTACAATAGACCATCAGTTGCTCATATGCAAATTCAGATTGAAGCTGAAGAAAATGAAAACAAGACCACGGGAGCCAAATTATGACCTTGACTATATCCCACCTGAATCTAGAGATCATCCGAAGAACAGATTTGATACATTAAACACTAGAGACCGAAGACCAGAAAAGTTGTGGGATGACATCAAGAAAACATCATACAGGAAGAAAGCAAAAAGGTATTAAGAAGACAAGAAAGAAGGTAAAGTTCAAAATGGATGTCAGAAGAGACTCTGAAACTTGCTCTCCAGTGGAGAGATGCTAAAGCAAATAGAAGAACTGAGGAGGCACAAGAGCTGAATAGAAAATTTCAAAGGTCATAATAAGACAAGGTCAAATATTACAACGAAATGTACAAAGATCTGGAGTTAGAAAAACAAAAGAACATGCTCAGCATTTCTCAAGCTGAGGGAGCCAAAGAAAAAAAAATCAAGCCTTGACTTTTCTTATTGCAGGATTCTCTGGTCAAATTATTGAATGAGGCAGAAAGCATCAAAAGAAGATGAAAGGAATACACAGAGTCACTGTACCAAAAGGAAATGGTTGATGTTCAGCCATTTCAAGAGGTAGCATATGATCAAGAGCCAATGATGCTGAAGGCAGAACGCCAAGGTGCATTGAAGGAATTGGCAAAGAACAAGGCACTGGGAATTGATGGAATACAAATGGAAATCTTTCAACAAAGTGAGGCGACACTGGAGGCACTCACTCATCTATACCAAGATATTTGGAAGACAGCTATGTGGCCAACTGATTGGAAGAGATCCATATTTGTGCCCATTCCAAAGAGAGGTGATCCAACATAATGTGGAAATCATCGGACAATGTCTTTGATATTCCTTGTAAGTAAAGTTTTATTTTACTTCATAGAGAAATGGCTGCAAGCAAGCATTGACAGAGAACTACCAGAGGTTCAAGCCAGATTCAGAAGAGGACGTGGAACTAGGGATATCATTGCTGATGTCTGATGAATCTTAGCTGAAAGCAGAGAATACCAGAACAATGTCTTCCTGTGCTTTACTGACTACGCAAAGGCTTTCGATTGTGTGGATCATGACAAGCTATGGACAACAGTGCAAAGTATGAGTATTCCTGAATACTTAATTGTGCTTATGAGGAATCTGTACGTGGACCAAGAGGCAGTTGTTCAAACAGAACATGAGAACACTGAATGGTTTAAAATCAAGAATGGTTGTGTTCTTTCAACATACTTATTCAACCTGTATGCTGAGCAAATAATCCAAGAAGTTGGATTATATGAAGACAAATGTGGCATCAGGATTGGAGGAAGACTCATTAACAACCTGCGCTATGCAGATGATACAACCTTGCTTGCTGAAAGTGAAGAGGACTTGAAACATTTACTGATGAAGATCAAAGAGCACAGCCTACAGTATGGATTGCATCTCAATGTAAAAAAGACGAAAATCCTCAACACTGGACCATTAAACAACATTCTTACCAACGGAGAAAAAATTGAAGTTGTCAAGGACTTCATTCTTCTTGATCAACTATCAACACTCACAGAAGCAGCAGTCAAGAAATCAAATGACATATTACATTAGGCAAGTCTGCTGCATAAGACCTTTTTAAAGTGTTGAAGAGCAAAGATGTCATGTTGAGGACTAAGGTGTGCCTGACCCAAGCCATGGTATTTTCAATAACCTCATATGCATGCGAAAGCTGGACAGTGAATAAGGAATACAGTAGAAGATTTGATGCTTTTGAGTTATGGTGTTAGAGAAGAATATTGAAATTGCCATGGGCTGCCAAAAGAACAAACAGATCTATATTGGAAGAAATGCAGCCTGAGTGCTCCTTGGAAGCCAGGATGGCCAAACTTCATTTCTCCTACTTCGGACATATTGTCAGGAGGGACCAGTCCCCAGAGAAGGATATCATGTTTGGTAAGGTGGAGGGTCAGAGAAAAAGAGGAAGACCCCCAGCGAGGTGGATTGGAAACATGTCAGCATCAGTGGGCTCAAGTGTGGCAAAACTTGTGAGGTTGGCCCAGGACCTGGCAGTGTTTCCTTCTGTTGTGCTTAGGGTCACTGTGAGTCGGCACCGATTAGAGATGGCACCTAACAACAACAATGATCACTACACTTTAGCGTGCAAGTATCTTGTTTGAGTCCCCATGTTCATGTCTTTCGAGTACTGGTTTTGTTTTTTCACTTTTTAGTGTGAACTGAGTGAAGGTTTCCAGAGCAGATCATCACTTTTCCAGTCAACAATTCATACATAGTTTTGTTTCATCTCATTAATCCCTACTTCCTCCCTTATATTTTTTGTTTCTATTTCTCCTCCTTTCCTAGTTCTGCTGAACTTTTTCTTGGGTAAATGCTGCCCTTTTGATCTTGAATGCTTGAAGGTTCTGAGGTGTGCATACTTCCCTAGTGTTTTTGTTATTCTGTATAGAGCTGTCTGTTGTTTGGCTGAGAATGAAGCCATGGGGGTGCGTTCAGTTTCAGAGCTGAAGGATAACTACGGACCACAGTGTCTTTCTTAGCACACAGTGAGTAGCACTGCACGACATGAAATCACTAGGTTTCATGCCCAGAGGTCTGAATGCTCTCCATGCTGGATTTGGGTTGTTAAAAGGGTCACTGCCACTTTAATGCTGCTTGGCCAAAAGATCCCATAAGCCTCCGTAGTGACCTTGTTGAATTGCATGTGGCTCACTTCCCAGTGGCTCCACATGTATCTCCCTGTGCCTGTAGTTTGGATGAATAAAATTACCAAAAAAGCGACTTAGTGTTCTGTTGTTGCTGCTATCTTCACAAGTCTAAATAAATCTGCCTTTAAAGGGTACTGTGTACGTTCAGAACACGGGGCTTTCATTTATCTCTGAATTTCCATGAATATGCATTATTTAAATGAAGCGTATACTTTTTCTTCAAAACACTGATTAAATCAAAGCTTACTCATTTGATCTGAATCAAATCCATGCCACTTTAAACTGCCTTAATTTGGAAAAAACAGAATTCTTAAATGAGAAAATAGAATGAGCAAAATTGCCCAACCTTTATCATTCTGCTTGGCTGCGTCAGTAAATCATCTTGAAAAATTAAAATTGTGGGCATTTAAGGTCTGTTGCACAATTTAAAAATTCCTAGAATGTATGAGATGTCTTCCCTTTTTCTTTTTAATGTATTTACTGATTTATAATTTGCTGTTATGACTTGATATATTATAAATGCCTATAAAGCTCTTGGTGTATATTTGTGTGTGTGTGTTTGTATACCTACACACACACATATATATGTGTACCTTCTTCATTATTTAGACATGCTCTCATTTGTCCAATCCCTTATTGTTGGATGACTCCCACCCCTAAGTCTTTCAATATGATGAAATATGTTGTGACGAGCTGCACGTTGTGTAAGTCTCTGCCCACACCCTTGATGATTCACTTGGGATGGATAAATACCTAGAATTGGAGCTGTGGCATTCCCTGTGCCTTTATTATGCCCTCTTACATAGTGCCTGGGCTCCTGTTCATTGACTGTGTGTCTGATTCCCACTGACAACTGGGGCCAAAACCCAAAAAAGAATACCAAGCCCACTGTCATGGAGTTGATCCTGACTCAGAGGATGAAGAGTAGGGCAACTGGGCCTTTGATGAAAAGTGGTACTGTTCATCATAGAGGTCCAATCAGCTTGGAGATAGCGCATGCAGACTGCATTTTGTTCTGTTGTGCTCGGGCCAAGCTGAGTCAGGGGCCGACTCCATGGCAGCTACCAAAAATGCCAATCATTTTATCTCCATTGAAGTCTTTGAATAATGTGAGTTTGAAAGTGCATACAAAGTTGCTTACTGTTGAATGTTATCTTTCTTGATAGACCCTCCAGGATGGCTTCTGCACCAAATCCGAAATATAATTCTCATTCCTTGGAGAATGACTCGACTAAGAGGGTAAGTGGAGCTTCCAGATGGACTTTCATATCTTTGCATTCTCTTTTCATATTTGAATACCAGGAAGTCATTTAGGGTGAAAGGAACTCTAGTGGTGCAGTGGTTAAATTTTTGGCTGCTAACTAGAAGATCCCCAGTTCGAACTTACCAGCCCCTCCAACAGAGAAAGATGTGACAATCTGCTTGGAACTCTGTGCAGGCAGCTCCACTCTGGCCTGTAGAGTTGCTGTGAGCCAGCATCGACTTGAAGGAAGACAGCGGGGTTTGTATGATTGGGGGGGGGGTGTTTTTTGATAGAGTTAATTAAATTAATAGTAACATGTTTTAGTCATGTTATACCAAAATGTTAATGCATATAGTTTTATTTATCATCCTACCTTGTTCCAGAAAAGATGTTAGAGTTTTGCATCTATAAATTCTCGCATGTAACTTGTCTTGTGTACTGATGCTAGACATTGCATCCACAGAGTATTTAATTCCTTAAAGGTACTAGGCAACATGCCCCAAACCGAAAGCTTTCTGAAGAAAATGTTGAAGGCCAGGGTCCAGTGAACAGGCTGCAACGTACTGTTGAATATTGAAATGCTTTTCTAATTATGATTATAGAACATTACACAACCAAAAAAAATTCAACTTTAACGGGAAGTGTTTCCAAGTATCAGAGAGAGAATTATGTAGAAGGTGATTTGGGAATGGATGGATACATTTAAAAGACGCCTTCTTCTAAGCCTATTTAGGCTCTTGATGCCTGTTAATGGATTCTCCCCAGAAGTCAGAGGAAGAAAAAACGGTGCCTTTCCATTTATATTCCGTAATTACTAACAGGGTTGACCTTCAAAGAAAAAATGTGTTTATGTCCATTTGTATTGCTTTTGTGAAGTGATTATTCCTGTCTTTTGCATATATGTATTTTGGGGGTACTTGAGGGGGGATTCTCTTCTTTTTTATTTAAAAGTGTTCTTTCCATATTATCATAATTGATTCTATGATATATTACAGATTTTCTCCCTAGTTCATTGTCATCCTGTTTTTTCCATTTAGGGTATTCTGTTCAGATTTTGGTATACAGAAGCTTACAGTTTTTATGTACTCATATAGATCAATCTTTTCCTTTATGATTTATATTTTCCTCATCTCCAAGACTGTAGATGTTTTTGTTGTTGCTGTCATCTGCCACCAAGGAGGTTCCGACTCACAGTGACCTGTATAGGGTTTCCAAGGAGTGGCTGGTGTGTTTGAACTGCCAACCTTTTGGTAGGAATCCAGTGCTTATCTTACAGATCCACACCAGGAGCCCTAGCCTATGTTAATCTATGTAATTTATATTGTTGTTGAGTGTCATTGAGTCAGTTCCGACTCACTGCAACCCTGTATAGAGTTTCTAGGAGTGGCTGGTGAATTTGAACTACTGACATTGCAGTTCAAACTGACCTTGCAGTCCAGCGCTTATTAAACAAACATTTACTTCCCTTATTTTGTGGTCAGACTTTATTTTCTTCTCATGACCTACACGTTTAATATTTACAAGGTGTACAAGGTGTACTCGTCTGACAGTTTCTCGTACTATGGTGGCTTGTGAGTTGCTGTGATTCTGAAAGCTATGCCACCAGTATTTTAAATACCAGCGGGGTCACCCATGGT